TATATATATATATATATAGTCATACACAGTCATTTTTCGATATTTAATATATTATATTTTTCGTAATCTTTATTTTTCTTGTCATTTTCTTCTTTTTTGCTTTTAAATCTTCCGTTCGCGTCAACATGCTTATGATTTACAATATTCCTTATTCCTTGTTCGTTGTTTTACTACTTCTATCTCTCTTTGCATTTCTGCCGGTTTTTATATTATTATCGTCTGTTTTATTATCGTTTATACCAATCGCATTTTATCTCTTTTAATTGCTTAAATATCTCATGTAAATATAATAATGTGGTTGTATGTGGTTAATAGCGAACGTTTTATAACGATCATATTTGTGGTTTTATGCGATCTATACTAATTGTAAGAATAAGTAAGAGGCAACAAGTAAATATTCATCCTTGATGAAATATCCTTGAAACTTGTATCGCGTATACGAATAAAAGTAGCATGTAAGTCGTAAAATAATAGAATTAAATTCAGTAGAATATAAATAATTCGTGACAGACACAAGAATATCTTTTCTCGTATGAAAGTTTATTAATGTACCTTCTTAAAATGACTCGCAGGTTGAGACAAAGAAATAGTATCGCATGTGAAATCACTGGAATTACAATCTAATCACGTGCAGGGAACCGCAAGGTGGATATCACGTGTGTGCCTGGCATTCGTAAGTAAGACGGAATAAACATTCGCCGAAAGGGGGGGGGGGGGCTGAGTATGTAACAAACGAAAACGCTAAATGTATTCGAAGATTCGGAGGACCTTGAGAGAAACGTGGCTCACGATCTTCGCTCGTGAATATTTTATATCGCGCGACTATAGTATGCTCGAATTTAAAAGTTATATAATAATACATGGGAAGTTTCAGCCGACGTTGTTCAGCAATTGATTAACAGCGGACAACGTAGAAATTGGAATCTGAAGAGAAAGTAGTAGCTCATTAGAAACTCCGTGAATTCTTATGCATGATGTAACGCTTACGAGATGATTATACCAGGCATCAACGTACGTTGAAGATGTCATCGAACAAGGATCCGCTTGTATAAACTTTGCCTACGGCAACTGTACCACCGTCTCCCACAGAGTTGGCATAGAGTCCACCGACAATGTCTGAAGGTGAGCTTTGAGAATCAACTGTCACCGTTGGAGCAGTATAGACCACTTTCCTAGGAACGGTCCAGAACCTCTTCCTAAAGTACCAGCGCGGATATACGGGCTTCGAAACAACTACAGTCGGATTCTTGTCTGGCAAAGGAAAGAATTGTTTCATGAAATACCATTCAAGTATGTACATTAATAAAACTATCAGCACGATTGCTCACCGACTGTCGTAATCGTATTAACTGCAACTGTCTCTTGTACAGGTACTACAGGTACTACGGGTGCCACGGGTACCACAGGTGCGGAAGCCACAATGCTCTTTTCGACGGATTTTACGACTGGTGCCGTTCCAACCAGATTAACCGATCCGACCAGTCCAAGTTCCGCTGCAGGAGCCACGGCAGCGAGTTTTACTGCTCTTCGTACCTATGGCATACGAGAAAAGAAAGATCTTTCTTATAATTTGTCAATTATTTCACAATCGCGTTGCTCGAAAATTCCTTTGCTTTTATCACCTCTTTGTTTTGCGACTCGGCCTTCCCATCTGCAGGCGCGTCAGCTGGCAGCGCGGCAGCTTCAAGTGCCACCACCTTCTGCATTCGATAGATTGCATTTTAAAGACTGCATTGATAGATTTCATTTTAAAGACGATATATCCCACACACAAATATATTTGTGCAAAGATGATTGTTAGAGAGGAGTTAGAAAGAATCCCATAATTTGCGAATACGAATCTAAATGCGCTTATATAACTTTTTAAGATACTAATTACGAAACTATGATTATTATAAGGAGGTGTGTTAGAGAGAGAATTGTGTCAATGAACATCCTCGCGTTTCTCATGTAGTAATACGATATCTCGTTTAGATATCGTATTCGAAACCTAGAAAACCATAATTTGATGTATATCTTTCGCTTATAAAAACTAGACCAATGCAAAAACTACGTTTCGAACAAAACCTCTTTCTCCTTTTGCGCGTCTTTCTCCTTCTGTGCTCTCGAACGTATGATCTGTATGTTCGTGCGGCCCTTCGTCAGTTTCGTCACGCTCGCAGCTGCATCCGCTGTTGCATTAGCGTCTCTCGTCGTCGCGCCGGATGCACCCGAATTCGCGTTAGATCCGTCACTGCCGGCTGCGGCTCCGTCGATTCCTGCTCCGCCAAGACCTCCGCCAAGATACACGCCGGTTCCTGGACCGCCCGGCGTCGCGCCTGCATATAGACCACCGGCAATCGGGTTGGACGATCGTCCGTCTAATCTTCCACCGAGACCGGCTGCCGCTTCGGGTCTCCCACGACCGAGTCCAGCACGAGCGTATAGACCGCCGCCTGAAAATATATCTCGCTTTATTTTATTGTTTCTTCAATATTTATGTCTTCGATGAAGATTTGATTGTGTTTATATCAGATGCATACAAAAGTTCTCTCGTTAAATATCTTTTTAAATATGTATTAGATATTTTATCTTTAACTTTATTTGTAACAAATATGGAGAATGCATCTTTCATTCTCCTTCTTTAGAATTAATATAATATTTTTTTTTACTTTCGCGAATACTAACCGAGATTGCCGTCTTCTCCGTTTAATTGACCACCTAATCCCGCACCCGCGTGCGCACCCCACGGGGTACCCGCGCTCGCATGAAGTCCACCTCCTGTTCCTCGTAGAAGACCGCCGAGTCCAGCTTCAGCATGATATCCTCCAAAGTTCACCCGGATTCCTCCGTTAGTAAATTGAAGAAATGGAAGCTATGCAATGACAATTGAATCTCTTATCAGAATCTACTTAACAGAACCAGGGTTGGGTAGTAACTAGCTAAACAGTTAAAAGTTACGGTTAATAAGATATCCATAGTTAAATATGGGGTGTATTGCAGAAGTTAGCTGTGATTTAAGTCATTGACGATTTACCAAATAGCTTTCAATTATTACTTAAACTTAAGAGTTTTTCAGGTCGCTGAATATGAATCCAATGTCAAAATTGTCAAATTCGAAATGGTGGATTAGATTGCAATCTAAACATTTTTTAAGGTTTGGCATCCGCCATATGAAGTCCAGAAGTTTGAATTTGACAATTTTGGCATTGAATTTATTATTGAATTTATTATTCAGCGATCTAAAAAGCTCTTAAGTTTAAATAAATATAATTGAAAGGTATCTGGTAAATCGTCAATGATCTAAGTCACAACTAACTTCTGCAATACACCCCATATTTAACCATGGATATCTTATTAACCGTAACCGACACCAAAAATTCCTTTTGAGGGTTGAAGTCCTAACAACATACTTTATTTTGATTGTAATAAAACTTCTCCAGCACGTCATATATTGTAGCTATATTATGACAAAGTTCGTGAAAATAGCCCTTTTTTGCAATTTTAATTGCGAATTTCTCAAAATTCTGACGTGATGGAGCAATTTCACAACCGAATTCGTGTTCAGCGTCCAAAAACCTATAAGAAACGAATAGTCCGGTTCCGGTGTTCGGAAAAAAATCAGTTTTTGTTGAACAGTGTAATTTTTTAACTTAACTTTAACTAAGTTTATTTTTGTTTAAGTAATTTTTAACGTAAACTTAGTTAATTTTTGGCCCATTAAACTTAACTTAGCTAAAAAAAGAATTAACTTATCCAACCCTGGTCAGAACTGAGAATATTTGTCGTGCGTTAGAGTGAAAGGGATTATTTTATAATCTTACATAGAGATCTCTTGCACAGTTTGTACGAGTTTCTCTCATAATGTTATCTGTATATCTTTGCACACATTCCATATTTAGATTGCAGATGACAAATTATAATTACGTTTCCCGTCTCTTCTCTACCGCAAGATATAAAAACCGATTCTTTTCAGAAATATGCACGCAAGTGTTTCATTCGTTACTGACATTCCGGCTAAAGTCGAAACTAGTTACCGTGACGTTGCACAAAGCAATATCTTTTCTCGAATATTTTCACGCTAGATATTGAGTAAATAGATCTAAGAAAGACGATAGGCGCACAAATATTAATACTACTTTACGAAATTATCTACGTTGAAGTTTGTATAACAATATTAACTTAAAAAAAGTAAGTATATTATACTTCTTTTTAATGCCATAAAAATATTATTTCAAGATAGGCGAGATATATTAAAAATATGACTACATAAAAAATACGCGACAATTATTTTGGCTATTTAAAAAAAAAGCGTTGAAACTTAGCGATAAGCGTTATTATTAAACTTGAAATTCTTGTGTCTTTTATTTTTATTGCTACGTAGTTCATGAAGTGTTACGAACAGCGTTAACTATTAAGTTTCATGGTCTTCAAGTTATCACAGTTTTTGCCATTCACATGTATAAGAACGTAATTCTCTTGTTTATAACAGATGTTTCTTAACAGCCGTTTTAATTTTCATACCGCATATTTTTGCTCTGATAATTAATCGTGATTGTCATAAATTGGAAATAATATATATGTTTTAGTTTTTATAATTGACAATTAATTAAACGGTAACAATAAATAATGATTCAGCTTTTTATGCAACCTTCTAAAACTTCCGTAATCCTTTCTCTTACAATCCGAGTGTCTGATTATCTAACTTAGCTTAAATGTAACTTTTTTCATAGTATTTTTCCTGTCACAATCAAAATAATTGATCGACTTATTGTTTTTTTTAGATCACACAAGGTTTCTGTTTCATTTCTTGTTAACTTAATTATCATTCATGATGACGTTAAAGCTACACTCGATTCGCAGAATACGATCATTCTCGTTATTACTGGGAATAAAAAAAATGTTTGAATTATAATGAAATGTATTATACCTGCGTGCGTGTCTAGAAATTTGACATAAATAATATTGCAAAAATTATTACCGCTTTTATTACATTATATGTATATACCGGAGACATATAAAATGTTAAGAGTCAATTTAAGCGTTGAATCGTTTTTTGTAATGTTCGATGTATTTGATTTTGTCATCATCTTCCAGCATATTTCGCGTAATTGTTCGGTTTGAATGCAATAAGCAACAGATTCAGTGAGAAGCAACATCTTATTTCATCATCTACAACTATAAATGCGCATATAATGATACCTTTCTCGCTCCATCATAGACATAATTGTAACATCTTGACAAAATTCAATTTTTTACATAGTTTCGTATTTAATTATAAAAGCCAAAATGTATTTGGTTATATAAAAATTTGTATCTTTACATAACTGACAGTATAAATTTTGTTTCTTTATTTCTCATTATATAAATATATGCACTCACGTTTCTCTTTCATGAGATAAGAAAATCTATAAAATAAACTTTATATAATTAATGATGAGAATAACGAATTAAAACAAGGCAAACATTTCCTACTCACTGGTCCAGGTGATTCTGTAGCTGCCGTAATCTCGCCCTGCGGCATTCCGTTAGCCAGAGCTAAGAAAGCGATAAGCAAGCAGTTAGCTACCTTGTCGAACGACATCTTTGCGTTCACTGGAGGAAGGATCGAGGCTAGTAGGCAGGTAGGCAGTCATTTCTCGGCCTGACCGGAGGGCATCTCTTACTCACCTGCTGCTGGAAGGGGTAAACTCAACGAGATCCGTATCGTTTATCTGGCAAACTGCGATTCTGTAGAACTACGAATAATACAAAGTCCAACTAATTTATTCCTTGAACGTTTAAGATGATTAATATTTTAATGAGCTTTTTTGTGCAAGTTGATATGATTAACCGTGTAATTTGAAGAAAAATAATCGTATATTTAGAATATACACTACTTAACTCTTTGAGACAAAACATAATTAAACGCTGGAAAAATTTCATTTTTTCATAATTTTTATATCGAAATAAAGTTAAAAATCTCTGTTCGTCATTATTAGTAATTATTATCCAAGTATGTTTAATTTAGAAATATAATTTATTAATAAACTTTATATACATATATATGTTCTTTCTCTTTTATCGTTTGTTTTTATCGCAGACTTCTATATATTATATAAAAAAAAAATGTAACTTTGTTTGGTTGCACATACATAATGCCGGAAATTGAAACTGCTTGTAATGCAGAATTGAATATTCTAATTCGTTCAATCGTGCTAAAATGCAATGCTAAAATTACATTCGACAGTCTTCACATAATAATAAAAAATAAATACATTCCGATTGGGTGCCTCTAATGAATATTAATAGAGTATTGATAGTAAAATTAAATATTATACAAAAATTTAATAGATTCAATGGTTTCTTTGGGATGTTTGATTGGAAAAATCACTTGCATTGTAATTAAATTTATTTAAAAGTTTGTTTAAAATCATATCAAATATTTAGATCACGCACAATTCACGCTAATCAAGAAAATATTTTGTTACATTAAAATTTTTCTTCTCTGTTGTATTTTTGATAACAATATATGTTAATTTTATAATTGCGGAAAATTGTACCTTTCGAATAAGCTGCAAACGTGACAATTCCGCGACTTGCGAAAGACTGACAAGACTATCAAGTAGGATTATATAAAGTGACGCTACAACGTCATGAGTGAGGTCAATCTATTGCTATCTCATTTGATTACTTGTGTTGTTTGTTTGAATATGGCAGCAATCTAAATACTCTTCATCGTTTTCATTAATAATTTTGATTATAACACACGATTCTCTTGTACATTAAATCTTTAAAAGATAAGACTGCAATAAAATAAATTATATTCAATTTTATAACGCGTCTTTGTTGTGCGTTTCGTTTAATTTCATACATTTGTTTCTCACATCTATTATGATAATTAATATATAACTGAACAATCCGCTGCCCTATTATAAATTTAAATTTTATATACGATATATACATATGTATATATTTCAAATATGAAATAAACCTAAAAGATATTGCAATGTCTAGTAAGCATAAACACACGTGACACATGGGTTTTACATTACAACGCAGAAATGAAGCGAGTGTTCGGCGAAGGTCAAGGTATGACTTCACTTGTTGACAATTTATATATTCCTCATGAAATTTTATGCTTATATCAATTAAGTTCTCTAATAGAACATTCTTTCTTCGCGATAAATAAGTAGAATTGAAAATGTGGCATTATTGTATATACGCTAAAAGCATATCTTTGTACATTATACTATCTAAATATATTTGTTTTTATCTCAAAGACTCGAAAACAAATACCCGCGGTTGGTTGATTATCGAAAACAGCGTTTTGCATATCTTTTTTACGTTTATGATGAGTACATTCATTTTAAGTAGCGTTCGATTATTAAATAAAATAAGCTTATATATCTGACGTCATATATAAATCTTCAGTACTTCGAACTATTAAGAAACATTAAATCATCCAATGTATAATTCATCCTAATTATGAATCAATTGCTGTTTTTTTATAAATCTGCTTTTACCAATAGAAATAGAATTAAGTATTAGCTAGAGCCTCGGAGTAATTCAAGAGTCGTCGATGAAATACATTTTTACATGAAATTATAGCAAATTCTACATTTTCATCGATATAACAAAACATGAAGTCAAAAGTAAAAAATAAATATTTGTAAATATATAATGTATTGTACATACGGATTGTAAGTTTAATATATTTTTAATTTAGAAAAGTATTTATTTGTGCAATGTTACATAGATTATTTTATTATTATTATTATAAATATTATACGTTGGTTTAATAGATTTAATGAAATTGTATATTTCTAAGAGGAAATTTGTACGATAAAAATAAACGCAAGATATAAGATCTGCAGAACGATGTAAGAATGATGGATGCTTATCAAAAATAAAGATTATATATATAATCTGCTTTTACCAATAGAAATAGAATTAAGTATTAGCTAGAGCCTCGGAGTAATTCAAGAGTCGTCGATGAAATACATTTTTACATGAAATTATAGCAAATTCTACATTTTCATCGATATAACAAAACATGAAGTCAAAAGTAAAAAATAAATATTTGTAAATATATAATGTATTGTACATACGGATTGTAAGTTTAATATATTTTTAATTTAGAAAAGTATTTATTTGTGCAATGTTACATAGATTATTTTATTATTATTATTATAAATATTATATGTTGGTTTAATAGATTTAATGAAATTGAATATTTCTAAAAATAAAGATTATATATAACATTATTCCGTATATACATTATTATCGCACAAATGCTACTTTTCCGTTTCTCGGTGCAATTTTATTTTGTATTGGCGAATCGTCGTTGTATTCACGTATCGGCTTATTTCTAATCTTCGTGATTTTATTCTGGGAGTTTACATCAACGTTCGGATATTTGGGTATCTTCTGCCTCTCTTCTTTCGGAGCAATCTTATTCTCGATTTTGATGGCAGTACTAGAAGGTCGAGTTCCATGGAAACTACCGAATCCAGCGGTTAATCCATGCCAAGAAAAAGATGTATCTTCATTAACATCCTTGTAAATATATAATGTATTGTACATACGGATTGTAAGTTTAATATATTTTTAATTTAGAAAAGTATTTATTTGTGCAATGTTACATAGATTATTTTATTATTATTATTATAAATATTATATGTTGGTTTAATAGATTTAATGAAATTGTATATTTCTAAGAGGAAATTTGTACGATAAAAATAAACGCAAGATATAAGATCTGCAGAACGATGTAAGAATGATGGATGCTTATCAAAAATAAAGATTATATATAACATTATTCCGTATATACATTATTATCGCACAAATGCTACTTTTCCGTTTCTCGGTGCAATTTTATTTTGTATTGGCGAATCGTCGTTGTATTCACGTATCGGCTTATTTCTAATCTTCGTGATTTTATTCTGGGAGTTTACATCAACGTTCGGATATTTGGGTATCTTCTGCCTCTCTTCTTTCGGAGCAATCTTATTCTCGATTTTGATGGCAGTACTAGAAGGTCGAGTTCCATGGAAACTACCGAATCCAGCGGTTAATCCATGCCAAGAAAAAGATGTATCTTCATTAACATCCTTGTGGACCTCGTACACGTGTTGCGGGCGGTTTCCCAAAAGTCCACCTTTCATCAGCGACAAACGGTAAAAATGATATATTTAGCATCTCATTTGCTTAAATATCTTATCGCAATAGCTTTGCTAATAATGTGCTTTTTTTTGCCGTTAGAGAAGAAAGAGTCAGCGAAAATAGTTACCGTGACTATCGTGAATTCCGTGGCCGTGCAAACCTCCATGGCCCCCATGAAGCCTGTGGGTGCCACCTAATCTAGAGTGATGCCCAAACAAAAGATCGCTCCACGCGTTTAATCCAAATGGATCCTTGTGATAATGCCTGACAACTCTTGTCAGTTGAGTTCGTTGGTCTTGAGTTTCCTGTTTTCGCTTCCTTTTTTGCTCCTTTATGGCCATCAACCGTTCTCTCCACTCTTGACGATTACGAATTCTCTCCGCATTTTGCTGCCTTTGCTCCGTTGTAGTTTTTACAAGTGTGCCGACAGCTTCTAGAGTCGAAACGGGGATCTGTAAATAATTTTACTGATTGTAGAAAATAATCAAGTAAACTTTGTCATAAATGTGAACAATTTTGGATATACATGACTTTAACAATATTGTCGATTGTCTGTGTATTCTCCGGCGAAAAGGCTTGAGCGACGGCAGCGGTTTGTCTAATCGCTGTGATCGGAATCTGCAAGATAGAATTTTCTTTTAATTGTGAAAATTTATATACGTTTATTGAATAATTGCAAATTTTTTCTTTCTCCTCTGTCTGCGAAAAATTTAAATTGTCAAAGTATTTTTACTAAAGCAAAATTTTACAATTTTTTAATTTCCTGTTTAGCATTTTTTATATTTATATTCAATAATTGATTTTAATAGATCAATATTTATAACTAATAAATAAAAAAAATTACTATACTGTGGTATACTTACGTTAAAGATGTTATCTATCAGTTGACCATTTTGTGCGGATGAATCTTGGCGTCGTACTCTGCTCTTCAAGATTTCCTGAGGTACATGAAGGAGGGGATAAATCTCACTTTCTTGTGCGATAGCGTAAAAATACTTCCGACATCATTTTTCTCTTGCGTTTAAAGAGAGGAAATTACGCGCGGATTGCATGGAAATTTATTTCTCGAGATAGATATGATAAATACGACCCACGCGCAGTTTAACCTGCCATCAGACATTGCATCCGAGTGTATATAGGTCCACATAGGTCGTTGCACGCGCAAATGCGGATCTGATACCTACTCTTTATCGCAGCTTTCACTTTTGGCGAATTAAAAATGTTTAATAGTCTTCGTCAATTATCGGAAAGGAATTCACGTTATCGCAGCTTTTATTTTCGTCCTCAAGAACAAAATAAAATTAAAAATATTAAAATGTGCACATGGCAAGCTTCTTTGAAAATGTCTAATCTTTTAAACTAATCTAGTCTAACTATCTTTTAATATAGTTAAAATTCTTGGCATTGTTAAATTTTTATCTTAATCTATAATATCGTAACATTAAGTAACTTACGCTATACGCAACATTGCCAAATAGAAGAAGAAAGTTGAAAAACCCGCAGCACCAAAACATCTTTTCGATACCTCTTGCAGAGCAAATTGCGTGCTTATGACTGGCTCCAGCTAGTTTCAACACAAGTCAACGATTGAATCGTGGATCCGCTTCGCCGATCTATAAGGGCTACCACGAAATCCCACACAAGGCGTCGACCAATCGGGCTTAAGGATTTCGCGATTTCCTCGGACGAAGAAGAAGGTGCTTTCTACTTATTGCAATCATGTGCCATACGTGTTCTCCGAATCATTTCGTCCTCTTTTCACACCGGCCGATTATTCGAATAAACTATTCGCTTTTTCCTTTCTTTATCTTACGCTCGTAAAACTTTGGCGTGGGTTAGCAGCTGAAACAGTTGCGTAAGTCAAGTCGTATTATCGCAGACACATATGAGACGATGATGGCTTGCTCATGATGCAACCGCAAAACCGGGTCCTTTCAGGCTGAATTTCGACGTCAGTTGTAATTCGACAGTCGTAATATCGTTCACTTCGAATAATCTGGGAGATGGCAAAATCGAATCGAAAGTAACAGGCAATAGCTACTTTGGCACAGTTGACAGTTAGAATATGCGATTTATTTGAGCGACCAATATGATAAAATAAAATGTAATTATACTACATATATCTAATTGCATTTATAATGAAATGCGTAATCAAATTTAATGAAAAAAGAAAAAAAAACATTTTTGCACCCACGCATATATATGTATTTTTTTTCTATCCAAAAATTGGATTATTGCATAATGTTCAACACAATGCAGACAATATCATAAATTTAAATATTGATCTAGGTAACAACACTGTACGTCTTTGGTTACGGAACTGTTTGTCATAAATCTGTCACTATATTATATACAAAACTATATTATGTACAGCTTCTCGATATTAATATTTTTATCACCATCATTTATTGTACTCTTCTCTTTATTATCTTTGTTATTTTAAAAAGCGTTTGGGTCTTCTTGTAGGAAACCGCCTATCTGATTTCCGAGATTCCTTTGAAACTCTCTTACAGATACGTCTGATTGCTGAAAAGTAAGAAAATTTATTATAATTATAATAAATTATATTTATTTAAAATAAATAAATTATAAAATAAATTATATTTATTTAATATTAGAGCCAAGCGCGATACGTAGTGCTAATAAAACGTATCTATAAATTAAGCCATTACATTGAACATACAAATTAGAAATCAAATTTTAGAAAGCTTATCAAGCACAGAAAAATACATGTCGGGAAGAGATTCCGTGTCCGTCTGCAAATTCAAACCGTTCTTCTGCCTTTTTATGTATAGAATTTGTGAAAAACTATGTATGACTAATTTTAAAACCATGCGACGTTAAATTTATGTCACTACGTACCGCGCTTGGCTCTAAATGCCCTTTTTTACTATATTTGATTTTAATCCCGAGAGCCTCTATTATTATTATTTAATATTATTTAAATTTTATTTATTAATAAAATGGTTAAACAATAGTTTGATAAATACATCCAAAATTAATAAAAAAATAAGTACATATAATAAAAACTCACATTTAGAGCATCCTGCCATTCGATATTCAAAAGTCTCATTAACCCACGCAAATTTCTACTTATTAGATCTTGCAATCCGTTTCGCGTGAATTTGAAAGGCGCTTCAGTCGTCCTCATGGTAGTCGTCCTCATTGTCGTTACATTAATACTCGCCATGTTATTGGATAAATCATTTTGATCATTCGACGTCGCAGTGACCGTTGTCACATCATTTACTTGCAATGAATTACTGCTGACTATTGACGGTCGAGCGGTTGTATCCGGTTCGAAATTTTCACCGATAATAGTATTAATTTGTTTAATCGCCGATCGCGTATCGTTGAACGTCTGAAATCAGATGGAACATTAATCGAATGTAGCGAAACCTCCACTTTCCCATTCAACTTAAACAACGTAATGGAGACAAAAAATATTTTTGTTCTTGAGAAAACAAATATGAGGTGAAGTATGTAAAGAAAAATGGGATTATCCTCTATATTTGATATTTTCTATGCTATATTGGATCTTTATACGATTCTCTCTGACAATACTTGCAGTACTGTAATATTATATTTATGATAGTAAACGTTAAGCGGAAACAGACATTATCAATTCTCATTTTGAAATTCTTTAACATTACATTACATTCGCGATAAACATCGATTTCGATATGAGTACCTCGAAAGCGAGTTTCGCTAAAGTATAAAAGAATCCTGGCCGTTGTCTGCGAACTTGTCTAACGACCCTTTTGGTTTCTTCAGGGATGCTCGTTCCCGCGATGATACTGTCTTCAACCGTGTTCGACTCGACGCCATGCTCGTCGGTATCTTCGGACAACAGTTTCTCCAATGCACTTATCTTCAGCATTATCTCTTCGTCCCTTCTTCCGGCCTCCTGATAGCGTTGCTCCAACTGCAAAAACCGCTTTCTTTTTTAAAAGATCCGTGATTTCCAACATACTGAATTTCAAAATAATAATATATAATCTGTATTTTTTTTCTTACCCGATATTCCGGCATAGATTTTGTCACATTTTCTTTCACATAGGCTACAGGATACATGTCCTTCGAAAGTATCTCAGATGGCACTGAATTAGATTGATAATTACGATGATAGATGTACTGTAAAAGTTTCGAGACATTAGACTGAATCTGTTCTTCAGAAAAAACTGGCTCGGACTGATGCATAGTATTATTGATTTCATAAGGAACGATGTATGACTTCTCCGCTTCGCTGTAAAGCGGTTTAATCAAGCAGAGAAGCAGCCAACTGGCTGCAAAGGCATTGATTGATGATATGTACATCTGTAAAAAAATATTCATAAGATTAAGGATACGCCAGATTAACTATATCTCACAAAAAACCAATAAATTAATTAATTATTAAAATAGAAATTAAGATTTATGAATTTTTTTATAATCAGGAAAATGTGATAATCTATAAATATCAAAATATACTAAATAATTATATGTATATATATAAATATATTTTTTCTGTCAACGTGTGTAAAAGTCCATCAGGCGTGTCTGTCTTCGGAGAAGAGGGGGAAGAAAAAAGAGAAGAGACGAGACGTTTTTCTCTTCGCTCTCTCGACGAAACTCGATTGACTCGATCTTTTTTTTTACAGAATGCGAGCGGAATGCGCGGGATAGTGGTAATGATGGTTCAGGTACTGATGGAGATAGTGATGGTGCTTATGGTGATGGTGTGGATGGCGAGTGATGTGGTATATATATACAATAATGAGAGAATAGTATAAAAAATCATCTTCAAATTTTAATACAACATAACAAAAAAGAATATTATACATATATTACGTAAACATTGTCATAACAAAAGTGAAGTTTTGTTATAAAACTGCAGCTCACGAGACCGAAGAAACATCGTGCAGTGAGAGTCGGACGATGACTGGGATGCACGGAAAAGAATCAGCAGCTATTATATAAGTCGACAGCGTTCATTTAGTAAAATAAGGAAAGTTTGTTGAAAGACGAAACCACGGTAGGAAAATTGTCAACCATAATTTGGCAGACAAGATTTTTATAATAGTTTTACAATCTATTATTTATAAATTAGTTACGTACAATCAATTACATAATTTGCACAATAGTTTCATAGCATAGTCATATACGTGAATATTTATAATCTACTATAAACATTTCTAATTTATTTAAATAGAGAGATTATGTATGTGTAATTCGACTTTCTATTTATTATAATTATAATTATAATTTATTAAATTATGTTCTATTCTTGGCTTATGGAGATATTGACTTACTTTGTTGGCAAAGGCTTTTAAATCCAGATACACTGTTAAAATGTTCCTTTTCTTCAAGCACGTACACATTGCTTCAAAAATTATTCGACATCCTCAAACTTTCTTTAACACACACAATTTAATTCTTTCGTACATTTTATATTAAATTTTCACACAAATCGTCTCAACTCGGGAAGCCTTTCCCGCTGACAGGTCTCTGCGTCACTCACTCAGTTTGTCGCGATAAAACAGTCGTTTCTATAGGTCGTTCACGCACGATTGTTCGGAAAATTGCCTCCATTTCGACTTAATACAGCCTTCGCATTATACGACTACTACTGGTCGATGGCTTCCGCTGCCGGTCAAGCATAACTACCGCGATCGACAGCGACGTCGGCGATTTGCTTCCACGAGGATCGTTCGGGGACTTCGACGATCCATTTCGGCCACCACGCTGTACGTGACGCGAACATACAACACGTGCACTGAATTAACGGTCGACCTTATTGAGTATGTTTCGAAATAATGGAGCCCGCTGAATGTCCGGCATGTCGCAACATCGTCAAAAATTCAGACCTCCTGCAGCGCTTGACGTTTTGAGAATAATAGATACATCAATAGCCGAGAATTACTAAACGTACAAAGTATTTGAGAGCATTATAAGTAGCTAAACATACATTTAGGTATTCGAATATTGCAATTCACTTGTTAAGAAATACTGGCACGAATTGTTTCAAGTCTTGCAACTATATGACATTTAATGTCGATCACTGACACTATGATTATTTTAAATAACATCAATCAAGAGTGTCATGTTGGCTAATTGTGTCACGTGGCACAATTTGAAATAATCGCGCGCTGCGATGTTTTGAACCACACGAACAAGCGTCTAAATCTGTAATACGGCAAATAAGACTTTCTACTTTTGTGAAATAAATCACACAAATATCTCTAATGATTGCGAAAATGCAGTCGTACGTGGCATGATTTAAATGGAGCACATGGGTTTTACCGATCACACAATCGAGTTTTAGCAAACTATTTTCTGATACAAGTTTCACTCTCTTTTCGCATCATATAATCTTATGTATAGAAAGGCTTTTTATTTATATATAAAAAAATACACGGCTTCTTTTATACTATTTGTAAGAAGCGCTTGGTTTCTAAGAATAATTAAAAATTCATAAAATTTCACACAATTTGCAACCTTAATTTTGCTAGATTTCTTCTGATTAAAAAAAATTCTGGTCTTCAAAGAAAATTTTAAGGAATGTCATTAACTTTTTAATTTTTAATATTACATATTATATATGACAAAAGTCCGTATCAAAAAATATTGAAATAGACTTACATAAAATTAACTGACTACTATTTTGTCATCTATTTAGCTTGCTAAAGCTTAATTCGCGAAAAGCCATTTTTCTTTCATCGATAAGTGCAATTTGGAAACTATTCTTGCTTGGTTATTATCTTACTAGAAAAATGTAAATTTATTATAGAATTTGAGATTATATAAAATTAAAGTCGCGAACACGAATGATATCGACCATAATGCAATCATTTTCAAACATTTTCTTATTTGACACATATAAAGCACAATATTGATGAACTTGTTGTATTTTCTTCCGGTCACAAGTGCACAATAACAAGTCACTAAAAATTTTTATAAATAATTATTAGATTCACGCTGTCTTGCACGGAGATCGACAACCGTGTACTTAACCGTTCATGTCTTCGAAAACCTGCTTGGGGCTCAGATCCACGTGGACTACAGTATATAACAACTTCCATCTTTCACTTTCACTCTTCGTAATCACACACGTAATCAAGAGCAGTTCCGTTATAACCATCAGTATGTATCTAATTGTAATTGTGTAGATCACACGGTATGACAGCCGCTAACGCCGCTAATTCCTTGTCCGCTCTTTAATTTTTAGTATTTACGTGACTGAACAATTGAGAGATAAAGAAAAATTTTTATCAAGTGAGATCCGTTTAAACATTCAAATCGTCTTAAAAATAGCGTATTGATAAAAACAATGGTTTTTGTGCCATGTTATTATATTTTTACGGTTATTTCCTGAACCAGTTTCGTTGGTGTATGATATGCTCCGATTACTAGGTGCTAATTATCTTACTGTGAAAGGTATGCGTGAATAAGAAACTCACGTATTTGTTCGCATTAAAATGATCTACGTGCATCGATCTACGAAAAGTTTCTCCGTTAAGAAAACCGTTACCAAAATTTTTAAAAATTTCGTCTCGTGATAATAATAATGGACTTATGCGTGAAATGTTTTTAGCATAAAAAGAAATAATAGCAGTAGCAGCCAAGAAATATCAAACATCATATCATTATATTTGATATTCAATAAAATATATATTATAGCGATTCAACGCAAAAATAATAATATTTATAGTGAAAATCTGAGTAAGTGTCAAATATTGGGTTTCATTACGCTTGACGTGAAATTTCGTTTGAAATATTGGTGAGGTTTTACGTGGTTATGTATGTAACATATATCTTTTTGTGTACACGTGCCTTACGTAATACGTGTGTCCTCGCACGTCAGTACTTACCTATTGCTACATGTCTACATATATCAATTCTTATCTATTATTTGTCTACTATTATCTGTACATTTATCATTTTTCTATCGACATTATATTTAATGCAATTTTAATTGTAAAGTAAAACAAGACAAAAAGCTTGAATTTATAAACATATTTCTACTTTTTCTTATTAAATACATTAAAAAGTTATTTGCAAGAAAGATTTCTTCGAGAATATAAAATTCGTGCTATATATTAAATATTATTCAAAGTAATAAAGTAAAATAACTTAAATTTAGATAAAATGATAAGCTATTGATTGGGAACAGAGAATAACAAATTTGCGAAAATCATCGCACAGTCAATTATAATCAATAATTATATATATGAAAACAAAATAAGATTGCAAGATTCTGTTATTTAGATTAAGTTTTGTAAAGCATAGTTAGGAAATTCCTATATATTAAAGACTTATTAACAAAGACTCAGCCTTGACCAAACACAAATTCTGAGTTACATTACGTACAGGCGATTGCATTTAGAAATGTAAGAGAATTTTGAAACTGGTTTCTAAATTTAATAACACTATTATAGAAAAATACTCCATATTTTTTTCCAGAACAACTACAAGAAACCAGTTTCAGAACAGATAACGTTTAATTTTTTTTCTGGGCAGCATTGACTTTCTTCGTTATTAGCATTGACTTTGGTAAGAATCTTGAATTTTTAGATATATATCTAAAAAAGAAGCCCATTTTTTGTCGGAAGGTTTTTTGATTCTTAATTTCTTAATTCTTATCTCACTTACGTTTTTTGAAGAAATCTGCAATTTATTATTAGGACTACAAAAAAATAAAACATTATATAAGATTATTTCTACTATGTTATGTTATACTATTACAGTGATTACCTCTTTTATACATATGACATGATGCTAAACAATTGTTGTGTGTGCAGATGAGTCTATTATTTAAGTAAATTATTAGAAGATTTCATTTTTATTCATCGCACTCATCAGAGTTTTATTAAAAAGTTATTAGATTTTAAAACATTTTAGTATAAATTTATGTAATTTTAAGCAAACCTAATCAAAAAATACAAATTTTTCAATGCGAGTTGTTAAGCAATCGTTAAGCAATTCTGGATCCAGATTTTACAAAGATAGAAAATAATATAAATGCAGCGTGCAATTTGTTTGACACAGAAACTTGACATTTATATATGGTATGATAGTCATATTAGATATCAGCTATAGTGATCCAGTACAAATTTGTCGTTATTTCACACAAGAATACAAAACAATATTTTTTGTAATATAGAAATGAGTGTGTTACAACGTGGAAAAAAGTTTTTAGATACATGCAACTCTCTAGTACTATTTAGGAATTGTATCTATATTTAATTTAGATATTTATAATCTGATATTTATAGATATAATTTGAATAATTTGATAAAAGATACAATATTGAATATTGAATATTGAATATTGAATATAATTAAAGCAGTGATTATATCTTACCTTCGATCTTATCTATTACTATCCCTATCGAATAAGAATAATCTCTGACTGTAGATTGTTAGTTTGCCCACTATTGTACTTTATACTTTTATACACTATTACGTTTCGCAGGATTACACAATTCTCACAGTCACAACTTTTCGTGAATCTACACGAATATCTCCGAACTCGACGAATAAAGTTGTGAAAACAAGTGCATCTTGCTGGACGGCAGAACCCGCACTAACGAGATGAGTTTCCTTCACCGCCCGATACCTCGGGAATCGGCCCCGAAGGTCGTCAACATTTTGACGACATATCTTACGTATTCTGGTATAAACGGAACAAATCAACGAGATTTCCATACGGTTCCGTTATTGGACAAACAAGAACTTTTTGATCCTACGCACGATACACACTTTCAACGTTATTATTTCGATAATTAGGCAATCGCCGGAATTTTATTAAATAATCGCGATCAACAATACCCGCAAAAGAAAATATCCAAATATTATTAAACAAATTTTTTTTAATGCAAATGTAAGTCAATTTATAGCACAAAGTTAATATGAAACAGTATCATTTATCTTGCGCTTTATTTTCTTTAATTTTATGCTATATTTATGTTTATTATCTGAAATCGTGTCTGTAGACAAATAATATAACATATAACACACAGATAAGAATTATGCAGGTATTAGCATTATGCCCAAGAATGTTTTATTTTTATGTTTTTCTTTAATTTCTCTTTCTCTCTGTGTTTCTCGTTAGGAATATCGTATACAACAAAAGTCACAGAAAATAAAATTTCACAGAAGATTAAATTCTTAAGAAACTAAAATTAGTTAAATTAAATCTCTATAACGCACACAATTATCTTGCAATACATTTAGCAAATTAATTATGTTATGTTAATCCATGCTTTTTTATAGACATCTATTAATAATCTTTCTTCAAATCGCATAGATTATACAAATGCATCATCGCTGTCATTGCTTGTTTGTCAGACTCCTTCGGATTTTTTTACCTACATTCTTTCCAGCGTGCGTTATGTCGTCTGTCGCAATTCTTTCTCGAACTTTGCACTTCGGGATTCATTCTGGCGCTATGTTTTATATGACCCCCATTGACTTATTCGTCAAAAGGAAAATCGTGCAAGAGGTCGCTGATCTAAGAGTCATGCAAAATAGCGGCTTTTCCCGGCCACTTCTATTCTGACGTCACCGGAAAAGGCGTAAAACGATAGATGAATAGAAATGCGTAAAATTCTCAGGAAAAAATTAATTATCACACACGTCCTTTCTTCCCTAGTATTATTGACGCACATCTAATAATTATGTTCCACGTTATATTAAGATATTATCGAGAAGATGTAAATGTTGGACTTAAACAGAGTATTTTAATTCAATATTTTATTTTTAAAATTATCTTTGTCGCACTCGAAAAGCTGGAATGGGGAGCGCAATTTTTACAGGGCATTGCATCTGCTAGGGACATTCTTTTTATATGAGCGGCAAAACGTTACATGGTCAAGTTTTTTATGTCATCGTGCAAGACACCCTGACCGCTTGATCTTGTATAATAATCGCCTAGTTGTGTGAGTAATAAATTATCGAATAATATGAGGCAATCGAATACATATTATTAACGCAGAATTTCTTTGCGATTTTCTGATTGCATAATAAACCGGTTTTGATAAATATAAAGTTTTCATTTTGCCATACGAATAAGTATCTTAAGCAATACATTGCCAAATGAAATAAAAAATTTACGCAACAATATATTTTTATTTATGCGATTAATAGATTATGGCAATACGTGTTAAGTTACAAATTGATCTATATTAGGAAATTTTCTGAAAATTCTTCACGCTTGCTACTATAATTGCATGAAATTAATTTTATGAGATATAATCTAGTTTGATTATCGCTCTTTTTCCTACTTTCTTACTTTATCGTACTTTGAATTTTATTATTACATGCTATTTAATTAAAACCTGACTAAAGTGTTTCAAAAATAATTTTTCCTTACATTAGTAATTTAATTTAATAATTAATATATATGTGTGTATAAATATCTCCATTTCGTCTACAAAAAATAACATAATATGCTTTTAATCATTAAAAACTTGTCTGTTACTTATGGCGCTAATTTCTGGATCATATATAACAAATTTAAACAAATAGATGATGATCATAGAAGAATAGTAGATAAAAGATAAGACAATAATATGGCGTCATAAATAATAATTGTGTAATATGACAGCAGAAAAATATTCTACCAAGAATAGGACATTTAAATTGTATTTTAATTCCTAAATGAGATTTAAAGTCTTTTACTTGGAACAGACACGACAAGTTCTAGTCAACGGTATTTATCCACAAAATATGTGATCGGAACTTGCTAAATGTTTCTTGACGAAACAATGGTCATTGAGCAATTAAGTTCTAGTATAATAATCCCCTACGAATGCGGAAATGAGACGCCTTAGTGCAAGTTATCCGATGGTAAACCCTTTATAGCGAATGAACCGCGGAAGACCGGTTTGAAGATCTCTAGAAACGTCTGTGTTCGGCGAGCCGAGTTCTGAAATATGTAAACGATTCAACTGTTAAGGACAAGAGATCAATAAATGTTTGTATGAGTGGAAGTTAATAATTTCCTGCTTCTATTGAAAGCGGATAGATCAGGCTCGTTTTTTTCGTATTCTTATTCAACTCTGAGTGAAGGGTAACTCGACTACGTTAATCATTTGCGATTGAATTAAAAAACATAATTATCATAAAAAAGCATGATTAGATCCCTACGTCAACGGAAATCGTTAATATTGTATCTCTTACTATGCGTTGTCTTAATTAACATACGCGATACTTACTAGAATTAGGCTGTTGAGGACTTTACTAATATTAGTTACTAGGGTGAAACCAGTGCCGAATGCTCTTGATGGTATTTCCAAGGACACCCTAGTCCTGTCGAAAACGGGTGTATCATCCGTGGTAGTAGTAATAGGCACCTTCTGCACACAAATACACGATAAATGAGGTTTATTCAATTTTCTTTCGCCACCGCTTTATTATATATTTCATCATCGTTAGAAATAACAATATAAAAAGTATCACGTGGGAACATTATGTAGAACTTGAAAGTCCTTATATACAAGCATGTATGAATATCACGATCCGTCTTTGTAATTTTTCTAATTTGTAATGATTCGATAAATATCAAAGAAAAGGCTCTTTAACGAGAATTACTACTTTTGCAATTTCATTTACTGCTTATAATATTATTTCGCGTGGATATATTTTATTTATTCAAATATAAATGCATAAAATGAAATTTTTTTGTATAATTAAAGATAGAGTAGCATTTATATATTTATTTGAAAAATTTGTGCTCTTACAAAAAGATATTCGTATAAAATATTTGTATGAGCAATATTTCAAAGAGAGGGCAATAAAAAAAACTATATTCTCAATTTCAATTATAAGCTTAATTTCTTATCGATGTTTTGAAAAAATAAGTTAAAAAAATTAGAGCGATTATATGTACGGATAAATTCTAGGATAAAGATAATAAGGAAAAGAGGGAAAAAGGATATATTGGACTTTGTGATGCTCTACAATGAATTCTTCACAAGTAATAGACAAAAATATAATTAAAAGTTTATTTTTGACATTAGCATTATCACCATCATCATCATTCTCAATATTACTAGCTTTACGTGTTATAGAGCATTTTTAGATGCGCTATTTACATCATTTACACATTCCACTAGTTCGTCTCGCTTAGAGGCTACTGTTAAATTATTTACAGCTTTCACGATGGCAAGTCGATTCATGTTAGCTCTTCTGTAATGTTAGATACAGCACAGTCCATGATTCAACCGGAAGCGTCGATTCGTCAGGAGAGAGTTTCCTCTTTCTGTAGAATTTTTTCTTTCTTTCCCTTTTTTTTAAATATTTTGTTTGAGTGCTCTAAATATAGGCTTTTTATAGGAAGAAGGGCTTCTAGAGCGAGAGAGAGAGAGAGATCCTGCCAATTATCAGCCCAACTAGAAACAAAAATCCACACATTCCACATTATATGGAACGCTCCATGCGAAAATCCGTTTACTGTCCGTCCCCTTCTCCGTGATGCGTTTTACGTCCTATTTAATGTTTGTTTGTCACTCTGTTTCCCAAAGTATATCTTCTCTCAAGCGTTTCCCTGCTGCTCGCCGGTCCAGGCGTATAAAAAGTCCGCAGTCCAATATCCCTTTTTCCGCACCCCATCGGCCCGCTTTTATCCCGCCCGCTTTTAAGCCGCTTGGGGAGGTAGGTAATCGTACTGTTTATGTACAATACTTATTTTAATTGCAGACATATTTTGCGGTTATATCGGAAGATCTCGTCTCGTGAAGATGCCTTCCGAGATTATAAGGGAGTTACTTTAATCAGTAACGTTGATTAGTGGCATAATCGGAAATTTAATGAAGCGTATCAGCGTGACCAGTAAACCAGATTTTTTATCAACTACGTTATTTATATATGTATGTATATAGCAGTAGTAGTAGTAGCATTATTTCTCAAGGGCATAGAGTGAGAGAAAAACGTCAAAGTAGGCAGAACGTAAAGATACGTTCGAATTATATTATTATTTATTATAATATTATATAATTATTTATTATATCATTATTAGCTTTATTAAACGTATCGTATTATTCCAACGTAAAATTAAAAAAAAAAAAATAGTAAATTAGAAGAATATTAGGAACAGATGAGAAAATCACACATGCAAACTGAAAATTAATATTAAATATAAAAATAAAATGTAAAAATTATTTACACTTTTACACAACATGCACTTATTTTCACTCGTAGCGCGGTAATTAATGTTGTCACTTGTAAATACAGACAGAGTCCTACAAGCAACGTTACCCATCGTCCAAGTTTGTTTATTGATTTGTTAAATAGAAACCGTCCATACATTACGTTTATCAAAAGTAGCAAACTACTTTTTCTTACGAAGACACATATTTTAGAATCCCTCCCCGTCAGAGACAGCTTGCATTACATGTCAAACACAGAACAGGCGACATGTGTGACTTAAAGAGTAAAAGAAAAGAAAAGAACAATTTACAGAAAAAAGGATGAAATGAGCTCATTGCGATCCTACCCCTGCCAAATTGGCGAAAGCTCCGACATTAATTCCAGCGCCGGATTGCGAACCAGAACTCGTATCGCTTTTGCCGGAAGTGGCCTGGCCTCCTCCACTGAGACCACCGCTTAAACCGCCACTACCTTGGCTTATACTCGACAAAGCGCCGATCCCTTGGGTCAGGAGAGTGCCGATAAGAGCTGATCCGCTTCCACCTCCTATATTTTTTTATAAGCAAACCGATTAAATAATCTGATAGATAAATACAATAAATATACGGTAAAATACAATAAATATATTGTTTCTTAAAAAAATATTAATTACGAAATATATAATAATTATGAAATTTATAAATAATCTTTTCTGGAGAAATCTGTGATTTTATTACGTTACAAAAAATTTTTATTTAAATATTTATGGAAGAAAGAAATTAAAGAGAGAGAAAGAGAGAGAGAATTTTTTCCATATTTTTACGTACCTGTACTAGCGCCGGTATAAACAAATAAGAAAACTGTCGTATTTTTGTACGTACCTGCACCTCCACCTCCACCGGAAAGACCACCGGAAAGCGAGCTTAGTGGCGCGAATTTCGATGAATTTTCTTGGACACCAAATCATTGATGAACTCCGACGTACGAGACTTGGTAGAGTCGATTCCGTAAATGGCGTTTTTCGCCTTGTTGGATTCTTCGAGAACATCGAGCGCTTTTATCTTTGAGTCCAGTAAGGAGTCAACTTTCTAAAGAAATATGCATTTATCAAAGAAGAGAAAAAATGGCTACATTATATATCTCTATAATATCTCTACATTATATCTAAGACATCTCTTGAAATGTTTTTATTTTTAACGGAAGTATATTTCAGATTTGCGGTTTTAATATTATTTGTACAATTATTAATTAAACTTGGATGAGATTTGTTACATGTGAAAGTAGAGATTTTATTTAGAAATTTGCTATATAATTATTCTTACGCCGAACACGAAGTTGAGGATGCCATTCTTTATACCAAGCGTGAGACCAATCTTTCTCTTATCCCTGTCCTTGTCGCCATCGGCTTCGTCGGCTTCGAATACGTAGACCTATGTACGGGCCATAATTAAATTTTTTTAATTAAGTTATTAAAATAAAATAAAAATATTCTAAGAATAACATATATAAAAATAGAAGATAAAATTTATAATTAATAACAGGCAGAGAGAGAAAAGATGATATATATTATTGCAAGAAAGAGCCCGCAGGAATTTTTTGTTAACACACTGTAACTTTTATTTATCAATCAAGCATGTATTTCGCGTTTTGTTATATCAATTATTATCATTATTATTATTATTAATATTTAAAAAATTTGAATACAAAGATTTTCAAACTGTTCGATATAAAACTAAAAAAAAAAAAAAAAACATTATTACTATTACGCTACGTGCACGAGATTTGTAAGCGTTATAACTTCATATACGTAATGATAACTATTATGCAACGCTGCTTTCATTTTAGGAGAACGAGATCGATACGTGCTGTAGCGGAATCGCACTTCGATTACATTAATGCGTGATTGTCACCTGCGACAACGATATCTCATTGCTCGTTATGGACGTACGCGTACGCCACGTGCGTGCTGCAGAAATTTCGTTACACGCGTGTGCATCCATTTCTACATGTTTAAGGGGATCCAAAAGTGACGGCCGAACTCCGACGGGTTAGCGCCCTCATCCAAGCGTAACTAAAATTATTGATAATACCGACCGAAATTAGCGATAATATCAATAATTTTAGTTCCGCTGTTACCAATATGAATATTTTTGCATGTTCTATGCATATTTGAAAGAGAATTGTGTTCAATATGTTGAAATCGGACAACATCGTGTATTTCTACTGCTCTATATATATATATATATATCACTCTTTTTTTCATATACCTCTATCTGCTTTTTTTATGTTTGTCTCTCATTTTAACGCGTAGCACATTTAATTAACGCGATACGCTTAAAATACTATACATCTTCTTCCCGATGTAACTCGTATTATGACGACAAGTAAACATTTTATATAAGCGCATATTTTACGAATAAATTTAAATATCGATATAAATATTTTTTTTAAATTTTTATAAAATTAGTTGTTATTTTTTTTTTTAACAAAAAAGAGAATGAAGATAAAAAACAAGATAAAAAATATACATAAGATTTTCCTCTGAATAAATCAAAAAGATAAATATTTATATATGTTATGAGATTTTTGAACTGATTTTATCTGTTCTATTGCATGCTACGTAAATAGTTCACGCGAATTATTGAGTTAACAATTTTTGCGATATTTACTTTCACTTTGGTTGTACTATAAGCTTTATATTTGTCTTTTTGTCTCCAGTAATACGTTTCGAACTGTCCGTTCTAGGTCGAGTGAAGGTATCACGCGTTTATTCAGCACATTGCACTTAAGAGAGAAAGGAAGGAAAAAGACAACACTGCCGCTTGCCAAATTCTTGTCAATCATATTTCGAAGAAACGTGATTCCCGTGTCAGAGATTCGATTGCGCTTTCATTCCATGTATCTATTTCCCGAGAGGGTCTTCGAGGACGCGCGACACAATGATCATAAATTCTCAACACGAGAGATCGATAATAGCTTTTTGTGCACAAATACTTTAGCATTTAAATTACTTTATTGAAGCACGATGTGCATAATTGCAACTGACTTTCAATTTCATTCTTTTACTTTCTAAGACGATTCAAGGTAACTCGTCCTATCTTCTGATAAATCTCTCGATACACGACTAGAAAGAATGTTCAATAGCTTAATGTATAACGTACTCGACGACAAGTCGCTTGAAAGCACTCTTTAAAAAGAAGAAATAAAATACAAGACTTACTTCGTTTAATGGGCTAAGATCCTCCTGGGGTAACTCTTCCGCATCTCTCTTGACAATAGGACTGCAATTGACAATGGCAATGGCCAAGAACAGTCCGCAAAATGTGCAGACTACCCGCATTATGTTTTTTCTCACTTGGTCGATTTGTATTTCAGTTTAGTCTGCGTAAATAAAAAGATGTTTCACAAGGCGGTAAAATTCCTAGCAATAAAGTTGAAAGTTAATCTTAAATGTCGAGTGAAAGGAGATGCTTCATATATGTAAGTTTACACATAAAAATTGATTGGTAATCGAATTGATTCAATTTCGCAAACAGTAAATAATTAGGCAATATTAATAATAATGTTATTCGATATAAATATTAGAAAAATTAGATGCAGGCAAATATTGTTATGTAAATTGATGTATGCAAATCATGTATTGATCGCCATTTCCTTCAAAAGTTTAACATAGCGTAATATCATAGAAAAGAGTATTATCCCCAATCTGATTTAGGTCTTAAACAATAACAAAAAAAAACCGCAGAAAATAAAAAATGAATAAATTACTAACAATAAATTTAGGGCTTGCTGAGGTATTAATAATAAGCTGTCACAATCAGCTGATTGTTAAATTACAGACATAAAATGGTTGGTCGAGTAATAGACCGCAAATTATAAGAACAAATAAGCGATTAGCTTGAAATAATCGCGTACGTATTTCTAACAGAGAAGAACATAACAAGAATATAATAATAATAAAAAAAAACAATTAACAAATAAAATTAATATTTTTTTTCGTTTTACGACAACTGTCGATTCTTTCGGATCGAATGCATCTTTTTTTTTCTAACGCGTAGAAAAGAAAAACTCAGAAAAGTCAACGAAATTTTAGCAAGCGTGTTACGTGAACAGTCAAAGCGAATAAATTGCGTGGACTTACGAGTGCCGGTGCGACGAGTGCGTGCGTGCGTGCGTGCGAGCAAGCGAGCGAGCGAACGAATGCGTGAGGAGTTGTGTATCTGGCGGAGCGCGAGGCTCGTTTGAGGACCACGGTGAAGGAGGTCCCGATGTCTTACGGAGCCGAAGGGGAACGAAGGCGAGCATGTGTGCCCCATCGAGAATCGAGAATCGCGAGTCTCACCTCCCGCAGGCAGGTGGGGCGCCCTCCAACTCACTTTTGTCGGAGAAACCCGTTCAGCCAGTTGGCGCGTTATCCAGAGCACTCCTCGTAATCAAACACCCTCCCTCGTTTATTTCTCTTATCATCGCTCGGGTTAGCACATCGTAAAGCTTGTAAATTATTGAAGCACGCAGTTACAAGCTTAGAAGTTATTTCGTCTCTTTTATCTGACAAAAAAAAAAAAAAATATCCGCGTGATGCAAAACTGTTTTATGAAAATACGCTCTAATCAAAAGACTTCGACAATTAAATTCTTTGGAAAATTCTCCATTCTCTTTCTATTCGCACATATCTTTTTATTATTGCGCTGGTATTATTTAGTAACCGATTTTAGCGTCATGCTTCGCGCGTATGCAATGAACATCATAAAGTTTGAGAAATCATAAAAATTCACCTATTCATGTGTTTGTGATATCATCTCTTTCCAAGGTAAAGAAAAATAGATATAAAGCGTTACTAAACGTGGGAGCTACGTAACCTTCTAGTATTATTCAATATATTTATCGTTTTTTATCATCTCGCAAACAGGAGATATTATTAAAGTTTCAACAGAATAATTACGGCCAAATAATTAGACGATCTGAGTTTAATTACTTGAGAAACAATTGATTAAAATCATCATATACAATACACGCAAAAGTTTGCATGCATAACAGGACTATTATTGCGTGATTTTGAAGCTTAGAAACTTGCGTTTAAACTCACGCTTTCTCAACTCATTTTGAGATTATCTCATACAAAATTGCAAATCGTCTCGAATCGTCACACTAGCTTACGTAATAGATAGTTTCTTCAAAATGGGCTATTCATCTTCGTTATTTTACAGAAATATATTAGCCACGTGGAGGAACTGTGAATAATATTCTCGTTTAGATGATAATGCGTCACGATATTTTTGCATCATGTCGTAATATTTGATAATCTTTAATAACAGGACTATTATTGCGTGATTTTGAAGCTTAGAAACTTGCGTTTAAACTCACGCTTTCTCAACTCATTTTGAGATTATCTCATACAAAATTGCAAATCGTCTCGAATCGTCACACTAGCTTACGTAATAGATAGTTTCTTCAAAGTGGGCCATTCATCTTCGTTATTTTACAGAAATATATCAGCCACGTGGAGGAACTGTGAATAATATTCTCGTTTGGATGATAATGCGTCACGATATTTTTGCATCATATCGTAATATTTGATAATCTGTCAGCGAAATTTAGGAGACTACAGGAATGTCTACCTCGGATAAAACATGCTGATATATTTTTTGCGCTGACTTATATTAATATTCTCTCTACTTTTACAACTGCTAATTATCGTTATACATAAATGTGGGACATATTCGTAATTATTGCGCTTAGGCGAGACGATTCTAAGAGTTAATCAAGACGAACTTCCCTTGATTATTATCTTGAAAGTACTATTCTGATTTCGGAGCACTTTATATTGTAGTAACATGTAATAATTTATTTAACTTAGTTATTAAACATCTCATGTTCCTTGCAGCTATCTTTTCTTGACAGCTTTCTTCTCAATTATTTACATGAGAAAGAAAATATATATAGATTCGCATATATGCTGTTATAATTTGCAATAACAATTTTTCAGCAACTTGATATTTATCCTGTAGGTGGAATATTTCTCGAATTATTATTCGAGTAGTATGGTATAAGAAGACAAAAGTAATTTTTAAGATAGAACTTAAATTTTAACACAATGCCATTATTCTGATACTTCAAATTTAATTATAAATAAACTGTTTAGAATCAGTGCATGATATCTTTGATACTTTTTGAGTACAATTTGCAAAATAATTAAATGACACACTAAAAATTTAGGATATTGGAATTCTATGCAGAAGCTTGTCGAAAGAAGCATCAAGGACGCCCATTGTGAAGAATTTGAAAGCGAATCTTTGGAATGCACTCTGCACTGCTTTTATCGCATCGTGATTTAAAACGATTACGAACTATTCAACGCACGGGTTCTGTATAGCTAGTCGTCATTTTTTTTTAAGGACAGTTGCTCAACAAAATCTATTCCTTGCCATTTAAGATTGCCATTTGTATGCGCGACACGATGATGAAATCGGGTCTTTTAAAATGGATTACAAGAATCTAATTTTGTTTCTAAAAGCTAAGTGTCAAAATAATGATTCAGCTTCAAAAGATAAAGAGAGAATCATTACAAAATACTTAAAAATTATATACATATAATAAACTTACATTAAGATATTATATCTAAAATTAATATTTAACCAATAAATAAAATAAATAAAAGATAAATAATTTTTGTTAAAATCAACTGAGAAAGAAGTACCAAAGAGGCTTGTCTGAACATCTGAATATTCGAATATTTCATTAAAACCAACTAGGTACTTTAAATAACAGTTCTCTGTACCCGTCTAAGTAGTAAAGCTATTCACTGATCAGACCACTGATCGACCACTCGTGATGTGGCGCCGCGCAGCGATCACGCTCGTAGATGCGTGCGGCATCTCAACCGCGAAGAAACGGCCAAGTGACTTTCCAATGAAAGAGAGAGTAACGCACTTTGGTAATCCTCCTACAGGAGGAAAGTAAAAAAAGGTGCAGAATATCTCGCGCAGCCGGACACGGCCGGTTTACATAAGACGCGACGTGACTCATTTCCCAAAAGTGGATCGAAGTCGTACGCATTTCCGGTACAACCGATGAAAATAAAGATATTATTACGTAATATCATTCGATTCTTTTATTTTATGGAAACTTTATTAATATTCTATTGCGATGGCGTTTTACAAAATTGTTAAAAAATAGAAGAAAATGATAATATAATTTTTTCGCATACATATATGTATATATACGCAACTTACCTTTTTTAATTCGGAAGATCTAAAAAAATACGATTATAATAGGATTAAATATACATACATGTTAAGTAATAATCATTAATCATTCCAATCGTATCGCATATATGTAAATGAGAAAAAAAACTTGCATCATATGCGAGCGTATAATAACAATATGTACATATTTCAGAAGCAATGTCATGTGGTAATTGTTTATCTACGCTGTACGCATTTATTGACAGGTTGAACTTTGTAATCTTCTACATCGTATCAGTAAAAGAGAGTGTGCACAGCAAAGATCGTAAACATTTTAAGAATAATTATTCAGAATATATGATTCTACGAAAAAATGTTAAATACATATGAATATTGACTTTCTCGATGACACGTTTATATTAATATTCCTTTCGATTATATATAACGATAAATATGCAATATTTCATGCGAGTCTTAATGTTTCTTGCCGAATCAAGTTATCTGAATTTCTAATTTTCGCAGATTTCTAATTTTCACTTATCTTTAACTGACCAATAACAATAATTTACGCAATTGGCTAAAGAAAACCGCCGGATCATAATTTAAAAAAATATATATAAAGTATATAAAATATATAAGTATATACATAAAGTGTATGCGTTCGTCTAATATAAGTCTATGTAAGGAAATTAAATTTAAATAATACCGTGGTAAAGATGACATTAATAATATTGTATAGATGCATTAAGAGAAAATTGATTAACTTCACCAATTATTTCAATAATCGCCGATTAATTCATCTCGCGGTCCTCTTTCTACATCTATCTTCTTTCTCCGTGACGCAGAGTTGCTTCCTCCTCTCGCAATCAGGGTCTTCGACCTCAAAAAAAAACCCGCAAGGTACACTCGTTAAACTATCGCGACGGTTCATCGATATCGTGTGACGCACATCATTCGAAGATGTTACACGCGATCACTCGCGCAACCTCGACCTTTGCCGCGAACGTCCTCTCGATCATCGATCGCGAAGAGGGACGGCGGTTCTCTCACCCTCGTCGTGGGAGGAACACCCGAAACGGAATGCGAAGGACTGTTTGCTCGCGGCACGGCACATAGATTGAGACTTTAATACAGCAATGCGCCGGAACGGAAGCTAGGAGGCGGCCACGGCGTTTGCCGTTCGTGAAAGAAAGTCGGGGAAATTGACCGCCACGAAGCAACGCGTCACCATGGCGGCGCGAATGACCGATGACGATGGTGGGTGAAGAAATTTACGTAGCTACCGCGTCGCGTGACGCGCGCGCGCGCGTGACAGGTTTCACGCACGCCGTTGACAGATCCGTGGATCAATTGACACATCGACCGGAACTCGACGCGAAGTATGATTATCTGGATTTTCCGAAGAATGATCATGCGCGTATCTAACATTGATGACTATATTTCTCGTTACAAGGTAAGGTAACCGTGGTCGAGAAATATCAATGAAAAATATAAAAGCACATTCTATGGGCATTTCGTTCGCGAAAGATGCGCGAGAAGAATGTAAAAAATGTTGCATACTTATATTCTTATAAAAAGCGTTACTTTGCTTTGTAAAGTATTAATGAGAGATATGATGTAACGAATGAATATTATCTTAAGAAGATTATATATCTTCACACTTTTTTGTGCAATTCGATATTCATATATTACACAATATACATGTCATTGTTTAAATCTGTCATCTCAAAGCTGCTGCATTTATCTTCATTAAATCGTCTTAAAATACTTTAGAGAAAGAAACACTATATTTTACTGTTATTTTATTATATGTTAAATATTGATGTGTTCTCTGAAATATTCTTAGCTTGTAGCAATAATTCCTTGCTTTTCGATCGGTCTTATGTAATGTGGCGTGCTCAAATCGTTCGCGTGTGCACATTTGTTCGCGAACGATGACGCGTCTGCTGTTGTTCAATCATAGCTGTGTAACCCGAATAAATATATCGTTCTTTACTTTCTCCGACCGGAGCTCTGCCTATGAAACTTCCTCTACTGCTGTCGCCAGCCGTATCGAGCACATGCATTAAGAGAATTTATTATAATGGGCACACGACGATGTTTCGTATCTTCGATAAGAACGAGAGTAATTTACGTAGCTACCGCGTCGCGTGACGCGCGCGCGCGCGTGACAGGTTTCACGCACGCCGTTTGACAATTGACACATCGACCGGAACTCGACGCGAAGTATGATTATCTGGATTTTCCGAAGAATGATCATGCGCGTATCTAACATTGATGACTATATTTCTC